TAGACAAATTATTGGGTTAAAGTGTCAAAACGTCGCGAGATCCGCAGCCCTTTCGAATGTTGTAATGAAAAGAAATCAGTGTAGCTTGTGCTGTTAACGTGTTCTTCATTTCACTTACTGTACATGACATTAAAAGATAGATTTTCCTTGACTGTTCATACCTATTGCCTTCTATACCATTTCTTGGAGTAATATTCGAAAGCCGACCGCTCCATCTCCAAATAAGCAGCAAGAAGCACTTCTCGGGTAAGGATAATCAAAACCTTACAGAATTAAAGACTATTCCAAAATAGAATCGCCTACAGGCTAATACTTGTTGCAAACTAACTTTCGCCCTTTCTAGTAAACATATTAATTAGACCACCATCTGATTTTTTAAACTCTACTTGCAGTGTTGGAAGTGAAGAAGATTGCGTGATCATCAAAGATGTCGGTACGTAAAAGTCCTCACCGCGCATTCAGCAACATGTAATGATTCGCGTGATCATATTTTTTGTAATCTTAACCCGTCGGTATATAGCCGCTAACGCCTTGAATATGAAGAATAGATATATCTAGGATTGAACGTAGTGGCAAAAATTGGCTTGCCAAATTTTTTTTTTTTTTTTTTCGCAATTTTAGCAAGAAAAACATTCACAAGAAAATTTTTTGGGACACTTACTGAAAACATATCACAAAAATTAGAAGAATAACAAAGTTTACAACATTCTAGACTAAAAAGACAAAAAGGTAAAGAAGGGCCCCGAGAAGGCCGCAAATTTCGCGAAAGCTTCATGACATACACACACTCATGTACGTACATACATACATCTATCTATTGTTGCCCCCTAACAAGGGCGTTTTAAAACCAATATTACAATTAAAAAAGGAATAAAAATCGTAAATAAATATAATAACTGTATAATAATTACTTAATATATTAACATGATTCGCTTAAATATTCTCCAAAAAGCACTAAAAGTGTTTAAGATACTTAACGTCCTCATGTGCTTGCTTAATCCATTCCAGATTTGAACCCCTCTATAGGCAAAACGACGCTGACAAGTTGCCAAGCAACAACGGCAAACATTTAGGTTGTAAATTGCAAAAGTAACAGGAATTTTTATTGCCGTCTAAAGAGACGGAGTAACTAATATCGCAAGAATAACAGTATATTTGTTAACTAAAAGAGTTTTTCTGTTTGCAATTAAAATTGTTGTTAGTTAGTGCGAATGTTACGGACTTTTGGGGGGTCTTCTTTGCCTTTCTTCTCTAAGTCTTTGCACGAAAGAATTGAAATTATTGAAATTATTTTTAGGCTTCAAATTAAATATTTAAATGTAACGTTATCTGTAATACTGCGTTCACACTTTCCAGTGCGACATGAAGAGGTTTTACATCGCATGGAAAAGGCCATGAAGGATTTTATTGGACTGGAAACTCTGAAACAGCAGTTCCTAAGATTTACAAGAACACAGCTTCAGAACGACAGAAGAAAAAGGCTTGGGCGACAAATACAGCAGGACACACCTTTACACTTAGTTTTTGCCGGTAATCCTGGTACAGGAAAGACAACATTTGCAAGGCGTGTAGCAAGTGAGAATTCCAAAGTTTCATAATAGAAATAACCTATGGGAAAAAAAGTTACAATAAAGGGCTGATTTTTGATTTTTTTTTTTTAACCTTTCAGTTTTAAAGCGATGCCGTTCCCACGGCTTGTACAGTTTCCGCAACACTTAATGTATAAATGCCCTAAATTAACCTGGACGATGTCATATCTTATTACATTCTAGCCCCATTGGAATTATAGGCTGAATCTCTATATTCATTGATGTGATGACGAGTTAGAAAAAGAGAATTAACGAGATCGTATATTGCATGCATGTATTGATTACTATGATTTTCTCCATGACTATGATGTAATTGCCATTGAATTCTACTTTCTTCGTAGACCTGCTCTTCAGCATAAAGAAAACTAAAAAAAATAAAATCGTGGAGGTCCAAAGATCTGACCTTATAGGTCAGTATCTAGGATCAACCACAGAAAAAACAAAACAAAAAATTGTGGAAGCTCGTGGTGGCGTCCTATTTATAGATGAGGCCTACCGGTTAATACCGACCGCTGGTGGCAAGGACTTCGGCCGTGAGGCCATCGAGGAGTTGATGGCCGTCATGGAGGATGGCGACCCGGTAATGATCTTCGCCGGGTACGAAGACAAAATGGAAAAGTTCCTCAACGTAAATCCAGGGCTGAGGTCTAGAATTTATAGAAAGTTCACCTTTCCCGATTATTCGACCGACGAGCTTCGGGAAATTTTTCATCTAAAGGCCAACCAAGAGGGATTCCAGGTGGATGCCAACCCAACGTGGCGGAAATTCTCGCTGCGTACACGTCAGGGGCACCAAACGACAATTTTCGGAAGAATATCTGTTCGGAAGAAGATTTGAGATCTAGAATTTTCGAAACATTTGTTGTAAAATTTCTTGCTTGCCTGCCTCTCCTAGGATTTTCGAACATCTAAAAAATGGTATAATTGCCTATTTTTAACGGATTTTTACCCTAGAATTTTCGGGAGCCTTTTTTCTGGCTGAAATTTTCGAAAAGGTAAGTTTTGATCCGTATAATTTTCGGATCACTAGACTTTCAGCTAGGAAATCCGAACAGATGAAAAATTTTTAGGGGATAAAAATATGCTTCTATCTACCGTTTAAATACTAAAATAGGTTTCACAATGCTATGTTTAGGTGGTTTTGAACTATATTCTCGTTGGGTGCCCCTGACACGTCACCTGCCCAAAGAAAAAATATGAATGCGCGCCTGGTACGAATCTTGTTTCACGAAAGTGTTGAAGAGGCAAGCAACAGATTACCACTTAATGCCACTTTATCACAGTTAATGGAATTGAAGGAAGACGACGTAGTGTCAGCGTGCGCTCGTCTTCCCTCAGTTCCAGAAGGAGATTCTTCTTCTTGAATACCATATTTCCTCGAAAAGGTAATCGTCCTACCAATACGTGCCCCTCCGATCTTGCCCCTTCCTTTAAGGTGTTTCGATACGGTTTTTCAGAGACCATACTGATCTTAAAAGTGATTTTGTCCCTGTCCGTTTTAGAGATAATACATATAGTATTGTCTACCGAAAACAGTATTGAAACACCTTAAGCCGAAAATGAGAAAAAAGGGCCCGGGCGCTTATTCGAGGAAATACTAGGAGTTCCATCCAAAAAATTCTGCACAGATTTCCCGGTGTGCCATTTGTGTTAACAGTACGTCAGTAAGAAAAGCGATGATTTTGAAGGCCAAATACAAAATACTGACGGTATCATTCAGAGAAGAAGAGTCTGCAACTAGTCATTGTTAGTTAGTATATATATATATATATATTTTTTTTTTTAGTCAAAAGAAATTTTGCAAAAAGGATGAATTGTGGTCAGTGGGGTGCTACGTAACATGAAGTTCCGCATATAACTGCGATGATATTCATTCATATAAACAACATGAAGTGTGGCTAGCTGCGTTCAAAAATTAGCGTGGCGTCAGTGCGTGCAAAAGATTTTTTGCTGGATGAACGAGGTCACGCTTCATTCAACGCTGGTCATCGGCACGGTGAAGCGTAATTTGTTGCGTCAGACAACTAAGTGTCAACTTTGGCGGGAAAAATTTTCTTTTGATGCAAGAAATCATGTTCCATTTTCTTGAAAAAAAGACGGTTACTTTTCATCCTTATATATGTCATAGCAAGTCGATAAAATCAAAAGTACACAAGGACTTATTCAACAAACACTAACTGGATACGTCTTTTCCAAAGAGAACGTTTTTATTGATATCTAATTATACACTCACTTAATCACGGCTTTGAATGTACATGTAGTTTTCAATCATATTGCGCATATAATGTTCTTCTAAACTTTTCTGAAAGCCCTATTTTAAGATCAATAGTAATTTTCAAGGAATTATAATAACTCCTCTAGTGGGGTTAATTTAACCCCTTACAGTGGAGTTATTTTTTGGGGGAGTTATTTTCACTCCAAAAAGGAGTTAAAAGAACTGTAACTTTTTCATAGTAAAAAGGACCCCAAATTTGGAGTTAATTTAGGAGTTTAAGTAATCTCATAAAAGGGGTTATCCTGTACCTAAAATTTTAATTCCATTTTTGGAGTTATAATAAGTTCCTAAAAATTACTGTGCATCTAACATGTACCGGCTAGAAGTAGTCCCATCTCTCGTTTAATAACCTCTATAAGTTGCTACTGTTCATTATGGGGCTTTTTTGCGGACAAAATTTCGAACGTGAATACATCAATGTTTTGTTAAATTCATTATTGTTATACGTAATAATACAAATTGGAAAATAACATAAATCAATTTCGACCGGGTTCATCAAGTTCGAATGCTATGCATCGATGTTGTTTAGC